GAGAGAGAGACGAGACGACGACTACTACTACTACGTACGAGACGACGACGACGACGACGACGACGAGAGAGAGAGAGAGAGGGGGGGGGGGGGGGCACGACGGAGAGAGCGATCGCACCTGATCCGCCCGGTCTCGTCGTCGACGGCGTGACGATAGACAAGAGAGGGAGGGGGAAAGACGAGACAGGAATAGGAGAAGGGGGGACGGGAGGCGAATACAGACAGACAAGCAGTTTACTACAGAGCAGCGGCAGCGACGGGACCGACAGAAAGGACCGAGGTTGCGCTCCTCTTGCCAAAGACGTCCTCGACCATCCCGGCATTACGTCCGTCCTCGGCGTTGCGCCAAGCCGGCGCGGCGGGCAAGAGGGGGGGGGGGAGGCATGCGTGCATGATACATATATAGGTGCCACTCCTGACGACTTGAGACGGCAGCACCGGCGGCAGCGGCAGCAGCGGGCAGGGACGGCGACGGCGACGGGACAGGGCGCAAGGCTGTGGCCCCCCTTGCCGTGCGATGAGGCACGAGAGAGGGGGGAAGAGAGCCAGGCCAAAGGCTCGGCCCTCGTCACTTCTCGCCCCGCGTCACAAAGTTCTTGGCGAAGCGCAGCATCGAGCGGAAGTCGGGCATGTCGACGCCGTTGCTCACCGCCGCCGCCCCGCCCGTGGCCTCGCGGATGCTGGCGCTACTCCGCAGCGGCAGCTTCTGGTCCGACGCCGCGTGCGTCACGAGGACGTGGCTCAGCCAGTAGAGCGGCAGCGCGTCGTCGCACAGCGGCGTGGCGCCCGACGCCGTCAGCGGCGTAAACAGCGTCTCGTCGGACAGACAGCTCTCGGTGCCCGAGGCGCCACGCTTCTGGGCCGCCGTCGCCGTCGCCGCCGGGCTCGACGCCGTCTTGCACGTCTCGTCCTGGTCCCAGCTCTTCCTCCACCGCGAGAGCGCCTTTTTGAAGCACGCGATCTGGTGATCCGCCGCGGTCCGTCCCGGGCTATTGGCCGCCGTCGCGTTGCTGCTGCTGCAGTCGATCCACTTTTGCAGCTGGGACGGCCGAGGCACCTTCTGCGCGCGACCCTCGAGCATCCCGATGATGCCGCGCAGCAGCGAGACAATCATCACGAGGCGGGCAAACGGACCGTGCGCGCCGTAGATCGAGGTGCCCGGCGTCGTCTGGCCGGGCGAGGGCGACTTGTGGTCGGCGCCCAGCAGCTGCTGCAGCGCCTCGTCGAGCGTCGGGCCCCGGTAGGCGGCCTGTGCCTTGTACCACGCCTCCGCCGTAGGCGCGCGCCACACCGAGTCGGGGCTCGGCAGCGGGAGGTGGTCGAGCTCATCGATGCGCAGCAGCGTCGGGATGCCCGCGTCGAGGCTCGCCACCGTGTCCATGACGTAGATGACAAACGCCGTGCGCCGGCGACCCTCGAGCTCGCACCACTTGCGCCACACCTTTTCCTCGTCCGGGCAGGCGGGCAGGTAGTTTGGCAGCATCGAGTGCGAAAAGCGGCAGACGGCGAGCTCGTTTTCGAACTGCGACAAAACGTCCTTGGCCGTGAAGTTGACCTCGCGCTCGACGTGCTCGGCGTCGGTGTCAAAGAGGCCCGCCTGGCGCGCCAGCGCAACGACGCTGCCGTGCGAGATGGCGGCCACGGTCCGCGTCGCCGAGTCGCTGCTGAGGAAGTTGTTGCTCTGGAACAGCATCAGCGACTGCACCACCGAGCACTTGTCGCGCACCGAGCCGCAGCGGCTGGTGAAGGTGCGCATCAGCATGTCCATCTTCTCGGTCATGACGATCGGCTTGACCAGCTCGCGGCCGTCCTCCTCGTCAAAGTACTTGCTCGGCCCGCTGTCCTCGCGCATGTCGGGCCGCGACGTGTCCGGCGGTTGGGTGAGGCTATTGAGCACGTGCATCGCCGTCTTGGGCACCACCTCCTCGCCCGCCCACCACTTGCGGCCCGCCTCGTGATTGCCGAGCATGCAGATGGCAAAGGCGAGGCAGCCGGGCGTACTGTCGGAGACGTGGTAATATGGGTCCAGATCCGCGAGGCGGGGAACGGGACGGACGAGGGTCAGTGATCGGCACGGGAGCGGCGCACGTGGCCGGCGATATGTCAACGGCCGGAACTCTACTCACGTATCGAGCCTGAAGGTCGGCTCGTGAATGATCGGAAAGTGCTTCAACAGGTTCTGCTGGGCACTGAGGTGAGGGGCGGTCGCGACGAGGTGTGCAGGTGGACGGTGGGGATCGTCATCGGGGTCAGCTCCAAAGGACCGAGCAGAGCATATGGCTGAAGCGGGCAAGAGGCCCGACGCGGTGCAGATGGCAGTGGCGCACCCAGATACTCACTGCAGGGCAATCATGCTCAGGCGCGTCAGCGGCGGCAGGCTCCAATGCGGGATCGAGTAGCACGCGCGGAAGAGGTGCGGCGGCAGGTAAAAGGGGTTTTTGGCGTCGGCCAGCGCAAGCTCGAGCGGCGTGGGCGCCACCTCGACCTCGAGCGACATGGCCTGCTCGCCGCCGCCCGCTGCTCCTGTGGGCCCGACGCTGAAGTAGTCGGCCTTGTCCTTGTGGCTCGACAGCGCCGATCCCGAAGAGGGGAACGCCTGGAGCAGCTGCTGAATGCTCGGGCTCATCAGCCAGCCGAGTGCGCTGTTGGACGCCGACATCGGCGTGGCGGACGGCAGGGTGTGGGCGCTGGTCACGCCGCCGCCGACAGCGGCCGCCGCTGCAAAATTTGCGGGGTCCCAGTAAGGTGTGGCGAGTGATGCCGAGCCGCTTAGCGGCGCCGATCCCGAAGTGGATGCCGGTCCAAAGACGGCAGTGTCGATCATAGAGTTTATCCCGGCCCTCATTTCTTGCGCGCCGCCCTGGATCCTTAGCAAAAAGGCCTCCGGGCCAGGCGTGAGAGCCCCTCCATCAAAATACTGGCTCGACTGGTCTTTGACGAATCGGCTCGGCGTGTCCATGCCGGCGGCTGCGGCGGCGTTGCCGCTGGCCCCACTCGGTGCCGCAGCAGCCTGACGCTGCTGTGTGCCGGAGCTGCCAGACGATGACGACGGCTTTGTAGAGCCGCCAGCGGTGGTCCTCGAACCGCTGCCGCTGCCACCGCCGCTTCCGGTACCGGACGAAGACGACGAACCACCGCCGCCGTTGGCGCTGCCGGTGCCGCCCGCAGCTCCGGAACCTGACGAGCCGCCGCCGCTGCCGCCGCCGTTGCCGTTGTTGTGGTTGTTGGGGCCATGGCCGTGCTGCGAGTCCGAGGCGGTTGGAGGCTTGTCCGTCGAGCCAGCGGCAGCTGCTGCCGATTCGGAGCTGCTAGAGCTGAGCGTGGACCGCGTCGACGATTCCTGAGAATTGAGCTTGTCGCTCGAGGCGCTCTTGCCGACCTTGCCCGCGTGGGCACCGCCGCTCGCGTTGCCGTCTGACTGCGGCGACGTGTTGCTGCTGGCGGCGGTGGTGGCGAGGCCGTGGATGCTATTGTGGCGGCTCACGGTGCGCGAGGGCGGCCGCATGCCGTTCCATTGCCCACCGAGATCGAGGCTGCCGCCGGGCGTGCCGGGCAGCCCGGCTCGAGGGCTCGAGACGTGTGGCGTGTCGCGGGCATTCGAAAACGCCGAGAGGTACGGCGACATGGACGAGTTGAGCGCCGTGTTGGAAAAGGGCGAGAGCGGGCCCATGGTGGCGACCGAGAAGCGGATCGGTTCCTTGGGCGTCGTTGCGCCCGACGCCTCGGCCTGGCCCTGCGACAGGCTCGATGCGGCCGTCGGATGCGACGAAGAGGTGGCATTGGTGTTGGATGCCGGCGACGCCTCGGTCACGCTTGACGAGCTGGGCGTCGTGTACGAGAAGCTGGAGCTGCTGGCGTTGGTCGAGGGATAGCCGCCGAGGCCGACTCCGGTGCCTCCGGAGCGAAAGTAGCTAGCGTCGCTCCCGAGGTGGGCGCCGGCCCGCGCACGATCCGACAGGTGGCTCAGGGGCGACGTCACGGGAAACCCCGGTCCGAGGCCGGAAAAGACGCTGGATCCGGCGCGAGCGCCCGCCGATGCGGTGTTGCCGACGTTGCCGGGCGAGGGCAGCTTGGCGGTGTCGAGGCCTTCCCAGATGGCGGCGTCGGTGCTCGACAGAGACCCGGCGGGCATGCCACGAGCGTTCGAGTATTCGTAGCCGCCACCGCGGATGCCGAAGCGCGAGCCCGGGTTGCTGCCATGGCGGACGAGACCCTGGCTAGCGTACCTCGGGCTGCCGTGCTCGCTTCGGCTGGCGCTCGATTCAGGGCTCGAGGGCTGGTAGTACTGGTGACTCAACGCCGAGACCTGCGAGTGGACAGGCGCATGGGCAAACGCGCCTGGTGCGTAGAGCGGCAGGCGTGAGATGGAGAACTCGGGTGGCGGCGGGTCCATGCCGGGCTGGTAGCTGTAGGCGGCAGCCGCGGCGGTGCTGGTGGGCGCCGTTGTCGAGGCGGATGCGTGCGAGTCAGCCGCGATGGCGGGGTCGATCATCGCCGAGGCGTCTTCGGGCTGCTGGTCGGGCTGGTCCTGCGCGTCGGGTGCCTTGGTCGGACGGTCGATGCTGGCGCTGGACGCGTCGGCTTGCTGTAGATCGCCCTGACCTTGTTGCTGCTGCTCCTGCGGCTGCGGCTGGTCTTGCTGCTGCGACGCCTGCTGCGGATCCGGCTTGATGTCTTCAGCTCCGGGCGCTGGTGGAGGCGGCACGGGCCCATCGCCGGACGCGCCACCGGTAGAAGTGGCGGCTGCCTTGGCTGCCTTGGTCGAGCCCTTGGGTCGGCCAGGTTTGGCTGCCGATGAACGCCGAGCCTTGGGGGGCTTGGGAGGCGAGCCGCCCTCGGCGGTGGCTGGTTCGCCTTCGCCGCCGCCGCCTTCGATCTGAAGCACCGTCTTGCACTGACGCTTGTGGCGCGACAGCACGTCGCTGTGGATGGGAAGGCGGACAGTGAAGATGACGAGGGCAGATGGTCAGCGGACGGCCAGGATGTGCTGCAGCATCGCACGCACGAGGCGCACGCGGCACCACATCGCACTAACCTTCGCGAGAAGCCCTTGCCGCAGTCGCAGACAAAGGGACGGATGTCGGCGTCTGGTGCCAAGCAAAGGTGCAAGGTGAAAGGCGCGGCAATGTGGATGCGTCAGCCGGGGGTGAGGCACGAGCGATTGCCAAGCGGCTGGCGACACTGTGTCGGCGCGTCGGGGTCATGGACAACTCACGCCTTCGCTCGTGCCGTCTGAGATACTCGAGTCTCGAGTAGCTAGTGGAGCACGTGGGGCAGATGAAGGGAGGACCCGACGGTGCCGATCCCGAGGCACCCGCTGCGGCGCCGTCACCGCCGGCTGGGTTGGAGCTCGGGTTTGGATTCGGGTTGGAATTGGGGTTGGGGTTGGAGCTAGGGTTGGGGTTGGGATTGGGATTGGAACTGGGCATGGCGCTACCGTCGGTGGGAGCCTTGGCTTTCTCTAGGCTCGGAGAGATCGACTCGCGCTTGGCTGCTTTGCGAGGGGGGCCGGGATCGGTGGGCGAGGGCGGTCGCGGCCGTGTCATGCCAGCCTGGGCCTCGACCGCCGGGCCGAAGTAATCGGTTTGCATGGCGGCGGCGAGGGACGAGGGAGACGACGCGCGGATGCGGATGTGCTCCAAGTCAGGACGGGACGAGGAACCAGCGCTGTGGGGGCCAGAATGAAGTGCAGCGGCGATCAACGGATGACCCGTAGGAAGGCAGATGGTCAAGGTTGGGGAAAAGGGTCGATCAACAACCTTGCCGTCGACGACGACGCGACGCCCTCTTTCTCTCTGCGGGAGTCTCGCAGCGCTCTCTGCGTCGGGAATCCGTCCAGAAGATAGGACGGTCGAAACTCCGTTGAATAGCGGGTTGGAGATGCAGACGCGGCGAGGACGAGAGCGAGGTCGCGGATGTGGCGAGGCTAGTATGGGTCGCCCTCGAGGGCGATGGTCGGTCGATGGTAGCCTGTGGGCGCTGCGACGACCAGTACGAGGGAGGTCGTTGGTGACGAGGCGCCGTCGACGACGACGCTCGAGGTGTGCGATGGACGGGAAAAGAGGGTCGAGAGGGGGGGCCAGGCCCGGTGAGGGCGGTTTGGGGGTTGGATGGTGGCAGAGCGCTTTGCTGGGTGGGGGAGGGGGAGGCCGTCGTGGTGTCGAGTGGAGGGGAAAGGAAGAAAAGAGGAACGGCGTCGGGGCAGAGGTGGAGGCAGCACCACCAGCGGGCCAGGCCCAGGCGGCAGCGGCAGCAGCAGCGGCCATCACCACCGACGCCGCGCACGCAAGCAAGCCAGCCAGCCAGCCAGCCAGCGCCGAGGCCAGGCCAGGCTAGCCCTGGGGCAGAACCGCGCGCTGACTCTCTCTTGCCAGAAGAGAGGCCGCCGCCCGCCGCCTCTCTCGCCCGCGAAAATTCAGACCCACCCACAGCGGGCGGTCAGGCAGGCGGGCGGGGCAAGCCTCTGGCCTCCAGGCTTGGCTCTCCCCAACCCGAACCGCCAGGCCATGGACAGCATCAGGGCGCCATCCCGATTTGTCCATCTGCTGGGCCAAGCCGCTCGGTGCCGTCGGGTTACCCTGCCTCGTCCCATGAGCTCAGCTGCAGACCACTCTGCCCGTACCAGAGCGACGGACCCGCATCGAACCATGCAATGGCGAGATCGCATCGACCCACAGCGCCGTCCGGTGTAAGCAATCAAGAACCTCGACACCGGGGCCAGTCGGGTCAAGGCAAGGCACAAGGTCGCAGACGGCTTGCGAGGATCGCGAGGGCAGACAGCGAGGAGCGGGAACACCAGCGAGGCCAGGCCAGGCAGCCGCACGTCTCGATGGCCAGGCGCGCTGAACGCAGGGCAGGGCTGCCTGGTTGGCCCTCCTCCTCCTCCTCGCTTCGGGTCGGGGTGCAGCGCAGCGCGATTCGAGGCGCCGCTTTTCCCCGCTCGCTGATTGGACCCGAGCGCTGGCCCAGGCAGGCCGCCTCGCAGCCGTACGAGAGAAGAGAGCCAGCGCGTCAACCCTGGGACGTGGTCCTCATCCTCCCTCGTCGTACCACAGCGCAGCCCTCTCGACACTACTACTCCATCGTATCGACGTGTCGCTCGCCTCTGTATCGCCGTGGGGTATTGTTACAGGTGATGTGAAATGCTGGGATCACAAGAGAGACGGATCTGGCACAATGCGCGGGGGGAGGGCTACCTCGTGGCAAACATGAGGAGCAGGACGGTGCAGGTGCCAATGAGGACGCCCATGATGACGCTGTCCCTGCGCCGCCTCCGCCCAATCATGGTAATGACGCTGTTGAGGCCGGGCACCTGCGTTGCTGCGCCGCCCATCCGGCTAGAGATGCCCTCGAGCGCCGTCCGCTGCTCGCCAAACTCGGCCCGCGTCGCGTAGGCTTGTCTGCCGGGCGCGGGGGAGGGAGAAAAGGGGGATAGAGGTAAGAGGGGAGCAGGGCAGACACGGTGAGCGGACAGTGGCGATGAGCCTGTGCCGGCCCCTCTGGCATGTGGCCGCCGACGGTTACTCACTCAAGGGTGCGATCCATCATCTGGTGCGAGTTGTCAATGTGGCCGCGTTCTGCCAGCAGGGCATCGGCGTCCGAGGCATGCTGTGCCTTGTACGCGCTGCCATTCAGCGGAAACACGGACGAGAGGAGAGCATGTTCGTCAGAGAGACGCTGTTCCTCGTCTTCCGTGACCCCGCCGGCACTCACTCGATATCTTCGCGCACCGATCCGAGCAGATCCCTCCGGTCGCGGGCGTGCCGAACGTTGGTCTTGGACCTGCGCAAGTCCCTGGTGAAGTCCATGAGCACCTCGCGGTGCCTCTGCACGGCATGCAGCTGGCTGGAGGTGGGCGGCTGGGTCGGGTCGTCGAGCACGGCGGTGAGAGCATCGACCGACGACGACAGCTGTCCGAGCAGATCGTCGAGCTCGCGCTCTAGCTCCGCCTCGTCGTCGCCCGCCGTCCCCGCGCCGCCACCGCCGCCGCTCATGTCGAGCGCCATGTGTCTACCTCCGCCGCTGTCTTCGGCCGACCGGGCAATCTTGGACGCCAGCTGCGAGTAGGTCGTCAGCCGCGCATCGATCGTCGACTCGAGGTTGCGCGTCTTGCGCCGCAGCGCATCCCACGACGTGCTCGGCACGGGCGCCGCGGACGGCAGCGACATGGCTCTTGTTCGTCCCTCGGTCCAGCCGGGCTTCCGAAGCGTTCTTTGAGGGGTCCGTCTTCGTTGTCGAGCCGTGTTTGATGGGGGCAATGAGAGGCCGAGGCGTCGGGATGGATGTGGGCAGGACAAAGGCGGCTTTCACGCAATGAGGGAGGGACGTGCACCCGAGCATCCTGGCCTGCTTGCGTTCGCCTGCCTCGCCCTCGCTGCTTACGTACGTACCTCCACCTAGCCTTCCTCCGCGACCGCCAGCTAGGCAGAGAGGTGGGCGGCACCTTTGTTGGCCTGCCAGCGAGCCGCGAGCACCTCTCTCTGTTGCACGGCCCTCTAGGGCTAGCGGCAGCACAGCAGGAGGAGCTGCTGCGATGGCCTTGCGGCTCGATGCGTCCGATATAGGTGACTGAAGGGAACGGTATCGTACATCGACGCTCAGAGGAGGGTGGGGGAGGGCCTCGCTCATAGGCCATCCTCGCTTCCTCCCTCTCCCTCGTCTGTTCCGCCTCTCGTTCCTCCCGAGCCACCCAAAGTCGTCTCGCCCCGCCTGCTCCTCTCCGTCGCGGTGAGCGGCACGAATCTCGTCGCAAACGCCGCAAATACGGCCATCATGCCGCCGAACCGCAGCACCCACGCCACGCCCTCGGCCGGTTTATCTCCGCCCCGCTGCAGCGTCTCGACCAGCCCGGGCGAAAGGCCCAGCTGCAGCATCATCGACGGACCCGACCCGCCGCGGTTGCCCCTTTCGACGGCGCTGAAGATCAGCGCGCTGATGATGGCCACGACAAACTGCGGGGCGACGATGGCGAGGTTGTGGATGCCCAGGATCGTGCCGCCAAACTTGGGCTCCTCGTCCTCGCCCGCGCCGACCAGCGCATTCTCCCAGTCGCCATCCTCCGTCTCTGCCGTGAGTCCAGTCTCGGTCCGCACCTGCTGAACGGGACGCAGAGACGCCACCGACTCGCCGCCCCGGGCGACGAGGCTGCCCGTCTCGCGCCGGAGGGGCGATTGGCTCGACCCGCGCAGCGGCTCGCAGTCGACCAGCGCAGCGCTGAGGCGGGCCTTGACGTCCTGCTCGCCGTTGGCGCCTTCGACGAGGCCGCGCCGTCCGCGGGTGAACTCGCCGCTCCTCATCAGGCTGCTGCGCCTCCTCGCCTTGACCCTGGCCTGCGTCCGACGCGGACTCCAGTGGTCGCCGTCGAACTCGAACGGAGACTGGCCGTCCTCGGCCTCGCGGACAAACTCGGCCACCATGGCGAACGGGGCCCAGGTGGCGACGCTCCACGGCACGCCGACCAGCGCAATCACCAGCGTCGCCTGCTGCACCGTCTCGACGAAAAACGTGGCGACCATCAGGACCGCAAACAAGAGCGAGGCCAGGGTCCACAGGGTGCGCAGGGTGAGACCGTGCCTGATGCCACGGCGGATGCGCTCGCCGAGCGTCATGGCGTCGCTAGCATGCATCGCCCGCATGCTCGCCTCGAGTTCCGGATCGAGCTGGCCGTGGGCCTCTGCATCGTCGTCGAGGGGACGCTCGCCGTCGATGTCCTCGCGGAGGGCGATGGCGCCGCTCCGCCGCTCCCTGGCCAGGGAGAGGTACGGCAGCAGCGCACCCGAGGCGAGCGCCACCAGGGCAAACATGAGCATGGCAAAGCTGCCGCGCTCCGCCTTGGTGTCGGCGCCCGAGTCGTGCGAGCGTGCCTTGACGGTGGCGCCGTCGATCTGCTGGACAAAGGTGGTGCTGTAGAAGAGGAACGGGAACCATCCCATGTAGGCGAAGAGCTGCACCATGCAGACGCGTCGCACGGGGCGCGGCAGGCGTCGGATCGTCTGCCAGACGTTATCGAGCGTGCCACGCGCCTGCTCGAGCAGGCTAGGACGGTGCGCAGGCCCGTGGCGCAGGGGCACCGACTCCTTGATGGCCGTGACGGTGGCCGTGACGCAGGCGAGCATGCCGAGTAGGCTGACGACGGCAAATCGACGGAACTGGCCGCCACCGAGCCATCGAAGTCCCTTCCAGCGGCCAAGATCGAGCCAGCCGCAGAGGTAGCCCACGACGTTGCCTGCGTGCGTCATCCTGCCGTGCCAGGCGTTGGCGACGCTCTGCTGCGAGCTGGGGGCAATGTCGAGGATGAGGGCGCGGCTGGCCGCCTGCAGGCCGTTGAGGGCAAAGTCGAGGATCCAAAATGCGATGACGCTGATCCACTGCGTCACGGTGCGCACCAGCGAGTCTCGGCGCGGATCCCAGTCGGCGAGGCCACCGCCAAAGAGGTCGACCAGCAGGGTCGACAGCGGCACCGAGTAGGCCAGGACGAGGGTCGACACCGTGAGGAGGGCCGCCGAGGCGATCATGAACTTTCTGCGTCGGAAGCTGGACGTCGACTTGTCCGAGAGGGATCCGATGACGGGCTGAGCAATGAGACCGCTGAGCGGGCCGGCGAGCCAGACGAGGCTGGTGCTCTGCTCCTTGAGGCCGAGGGAGAGGAGGTAGGGCGTCCCGTAAGCCAGCTCGAGCGTCCAGGCCAGCTGCGCTCCTGCGAGGCTGACGGTGAGGACCATGAGGCCGAACGATGTCAGCTTGGCCTCGGCGTCCTGGCTGGGGTCGTCGCGGTCGTCTCCCTCGTCGTCGGTGTCGGTGTGGAGGCGGTCGGAGCGGAAGTCGACCTGGTCGGTGTGTCGGTAAATGCTCAGCATGCTGCGCGAGGTCAGGTTGTGCATGCTTTCCGCCATCCTCTTGCCGACCTGCGACCATTGCGATGGGGGCTCGACCTGCTCGAGATGCTGCTCGACGGCCCTGCGCTGGCGCGCCTGCTTGGCGTCCTCGGATTCGGTGCGCCAGAGGTGGAAGCCGTTCCAGCGCCGTTCATCGCGAGCGGGGGATGCCGAGAGGTTGGTCGAATGCGGAGGGACACCATTGCCGCTGGCGTAGGCCGGATTGTGGGGGGAGCGGAGGAGGTCGTCGAGCGACTGGGGTGCCTCGGGCGTCTGTATGCTGACGGCGTTGGGAGTTCGTTGCGGGTCGCCGTGGCCGTTGGCTGGTTGTGCTGCCGAAGCAGGTTCGGACGCGGGCATAGCGTCGTTACTGATGGCTCTTGAATGTCAGAAAGGCTAGAGTTGAGGGTTGAGATGCGGAACACGAGATTGATGGCTGGACGGAGCGCCGGGGAAGCTGCGAGTGAGAGACGCAAGAAGATGGAGACAGAGGCGGGGGAGAGGGGGCTAGACGGTGACGAGACAGTGGCCAGGGCGGAGGTTCCAAGAGGTCGCTCGTGGCGGGTTTCCGACAGCTCAAGGGCTTGCGTGCGGCTTCGTTGGCCGTTCGAGGCAAGGTGCTCTCGTGGCAGCTGTGTGGCAGGCTGGCAAGGCGTGTGTAGGGCGCGGGAGGAAAGGCGGTGCGAGGGGACGAGGCGTGCACGCGGCCGAGGCGCGCTGAGGGCTGCGTGGACCGAGTGGCAGACCAGAGGGCAGATCGAGTCTGTTGAGATGGATCCAGAGACGCGATTGAGAGATGGAGTGCGAGAAGTAACGGGTCGAGGAAGGGGAAGGGGAAGAGGCTACGAGGGGCCGCGAGGACCAGCCGGGCTGCACCCTGACGCCCGCCTTTTCGACATGTCGGCCCCCCGCGCGTCCCCGCCGTCGTCTGCGCCGTGCAGCCGGCAGCCTCCACCTGGCTGGGCCTTGTCCAGACGTCGGACCCTTTGGGTCGTCTCTGTGGTTGGCGGTTGGCGGTTGGCGGTTGGCGGTTGGCGGTGGCGGTTGCCGGGCGAGAAAGAAAATCCGAGGCGGCCTCGTCTGGCAGGCCTCGCCTCGCCTGGTCCTGCCTGGTCTGGCGGCCCACGCCGGGGCCCACCGACGCGCCGCTGCCAAATTTCCTACCTTCTTCCGACTACTCTTGGCTTGCTACCCACCGCTCCCTTCTCGCCTCTACGACTCTCTGTCCCAGCTTGCGTTTCTCTTCGGCATCGCCCGCTACCACCACCTCCGGACGCACACCTCGCCAGCATACAAGCGCTGCACCCGAATCTGCACCTGCACCCGACCGCTGCGCCATCTCGCATCTCGACACAGCGCCGCCCAGCTTCCCAGCCTCTGCCCACATCTCGCCCACCCTCCATCGCATCGCCACCGGAACAGCCTGTCAGCCACCCCGACTGAGCGCACGGATCGAGCGTTCACTCGCAACCACCCTAGCCGCGACTTTTGCGGCTGCCCTCGGCACTCCACCCTCCCCCTTCATATATCGCCACCATGGACGACTATGACGAGTTCGGCAACTACATCGGGCCTCTCTCCGACTCCGACGAGGGCTCTCAGGACGAGCAGGACGTCTCCTACGGCCAGCAACAGCAGCAGCAGCAGCAGCAGCCCGAAGATGACATGCCACCGCTAGAGGAGCCCGAGCCGTTGGAAGGCTACGACGACGGCGACGTGCCCATGGACGAAGAGGGCAACTTCCGGCCAGAACTCCAGATGATCCGCGTAGACGAGGCATCCTCAAACGCAGTCGTCCTCCACGAGGACAAAAAGTACTACCCGACCGCAGAGGAAATCTACGGCGAGGACGTCGAGGCCCTCGTCCAGGAGGAGGACGCGCAGCCCCTCACGCAGCCCATCGTCGAGCCCGTCAAGGTGCGCCGCTTTGCCATCCAGGAGGAAGGGCTGCCAGAGACGCGCTTCGAGCGCGAGTTCATGGTCAACCTCATGGGCTTCCCCGACATGGTCCGCAACGTCGCCGTCGTCGGCCACCTCCACCACGGCAAGACCAGCCTGATGGACATGCTCGTCTTTGAAACGCACAAGATGGAGGTCAACGTCGACAAGCACACCCGCTACACCGACTCGCACCTCCTCGAGCGCGACCGCGGCATCTCGATCAAGTCGGCGCCCCTCTCGCTGGCGCTCCAGTCGACGCGCGGCAAGAGCTACCTCTTCAACATGATCGACACGCCTGGCCACACCAACTTCCAGGACGAGGTGGCCGCCGGCGTCCGGCTGGCCGACGGCGTCATCCTCGTCGTCGACGTCGTCGAGGGCGTCATGTGCAACACCGAGGCCACCATCAAGCACGCCATCCGCGAGGGCCTGCCCATCGTGCTCGTCCTCAACAAGATCGACCGCCTCATCCTCGAGCTGCGCCTGCCGCCGCGCGAGGCCTACTTCAAGATCCGGCACGCCATCGAGGAGGTCAACAACGTCATCGGCTCCTGCGATCCCGACCCGGCGAGGCGGCTGGGCCCCGAGCGGGGAAACGTCGCCTTTGCCAGCACCCAGACGGGCTGGTGCTTTACGCTGCGCAGCTTCGCCAAGCTCTACGCCGACACCTACGGCGGCGTCGACGTCGACGAGTTCGCAAAGAGGCTGTGGGGCAACATCTACTTTAGCGACGAGTCGCGCAACTTTTCGAGAAAGGCGCCCGACCCCGAAGCCAAGCGCAGCTTCGTCCACTTTATCCTCGAGCCCCTCTACAAGCTCTATACCCAGGTGCTCTCGTCGGACACCGACAGCCTGCGGCAGACGCTCGTCGGGCTCGGCATCCACCTCAAGCCGGCCGTGTTCAAGATCGACGTGCGGCCGCTGCTCAAGATTGTGCTCAACCAGTTCTTTGGGCCGAGCAGCGGCCTGGTCGACATTGTCGTCGACCACGTGCCGAGCGCCAAGGAGGCCGCCAGGGCCAAGGTCGACCGCACCTACACGGGCCCGCGCTCCGGACCCGTCTACGATGCCATGGCGGCGTGCGATGCCGACGGCCCGCTGGTGGTCCAGGTGACGAAGCTGTACCAGACCATCGACGCCACCGACTTCCGCGCGTTCGGCCGGGTGCTGAGCGGCACCGCGCGGCCAGGGACGGGCGTCAAGGTGCTGGGCGAGGGCTACTCGCAGGAAGACGAGGAGGACATGGTGCTGGCGACGATCGAAAGTACCTGGATCAGCGAGACGCGGTACGCCGTCGAGACCGAGGGCGTGCCGGCGGGCAGCTGGGTGCTGCTGAGCGGCGTCGAGGCGTCGATCTCCAAGACGGCCACCATCGTCGATGCGTCGCTCGGCTCGGACGACACCCACATCCTGTCTCCGCTGTCGCACATGACCGAGAGCGTGCTCAAGGTGGCCGTGGAGCCGCTCAACCCGTCGGAGCTGCCCAAGATGCTCGAGGGCCTGCGCAAGATCAACAAGAGCTACCCGCTCGCCGTGACAAAGGTCGAGGAGAGCGGCGAGCACATCATCCTCGGCACGGGCGAGCTCTACCTCGACTGCGTCATGCACGACCTGCGCATCCTGTTTAGCGAGATCGAGATCCGCATCAGCGATCCCGTCGTCAAGTTCTGCGAGACGGTCGTCGAGACGAGCGCGGTCAAGTGCTACGCCGCGACGCCCAACAAGAAAAACAAGCTCACCGTCATCTGCGAGCCGCTCGAGAAGGGCATCGCCGAGGACATCGAGAGCGGCAGGATCAACATCCGGATGCCGCCCAAGCAGCTGGGCAAGGTCTTTCAGGAAAAGTACGGCTGGGACCTGCTGGCCTCGCGGTCCATCTGGGCCTTTGGTCCCGACGACAACGGGCCCAACATCCTCGTCGACGACACGCTGCCGTCCGAGGTGGACAAGAAGCTGCTCTACACGGTGCGCGAGAGCATCAAGCAGGGCTTCCAGTGGGGCACCCGCGAGGGCCCGCTGTGCGACGAGCCGATCCGCAACGTCAAGTTCCGCATCCTCGACGCCTCGCTCGCCCCGGAGCCCATCCACCGCGGCGGCGGCCAGATCATCCCCACGGCCCGCCGCGCGTGCTACGCCGCCTTCCTGATGGCCACGCCGCGGCTGATGGAGCCCATCTACTTTGTCGAGGTGCAGGCGCCCGCCGACTGCGTCTCGGCCGTCTACACGGTGCTGGCGAGGCGGAGAGGCCACGTGACCCAGGACGTGCCCAAGCCCGGTTCGCCGCTCTACACCGTCCGCGCCTACATCCCCGTCATGGACGCCAACGGCTTCGAGACCGACCTGCGCACCCACACGCAGGGCCAGGCCTTCTGCCTCCAGATGTTCAGCCACTGGAGCGTCGTCCCCGGATCGCCGACCGACACGAGCATCAACCTGCGGCCCCTCGAGCCCGCGCCGCCCCTCGGCCTCGCGCGCGACTTTGTGCTCAAGACGCGGAGGAGAAAGGTGAGTCAGCGCCCCGAGCCGAGGGCGAGGTGGTCCACGAGGCTGCGAACGCAGATGACACTGACCTCGCTGGCGTATACCCCCTTTTCCCGTACCGCAACAGGGCCTGGGCGATACGATCGCGGTCAGCTCGTACCTCGATGCCGAGATGACGGTCGCCCTCGCGCAGGCCGGCATCGAGGTTTAGGCCTGGCTTGGCCCCTTCGGCGCGCTATTCCCCACCTGCTCCGCTGTACTCGCAGCTCCCCCCTCATCAACCTTGTACCAGTAATCACCAACCCACAACCTCTTCTCGCGGCCATGCCGTGCCGAGCTAGGCGATCCTTGGCGGCTCGCCGTGTGGCCAGCGTGTGTGGCTGGCGGTGGACGCGAGGGTCGCGCCGGTTGCCTGCTCGCATCGTCGAGCTGTAGCGGGGCAGACTGGGAAGGACAAGGATGAAGGAGGTTCCGATTCACTTAGGACGCCGGCCGGGCGGGCCTCTCAGGCCTTGGGTGCCTCGGCTCCGTCCTGCTGGAGGGGGAGAAGGAGGTCGTGCTTGAGGAGCAGCTCTTCGAGCTCGCCAGACTGGTGCACTGCGGGGATCGAGATGGATGCGAGCGAGCAAGCGAGCGAGCAACGAGTTTCAGGCGTTTGTCAGTGGGGCCTGAAGAGAAGCGCGGACGCAGTCTTTGGTGGGCCGAGGAAGGAGGAAGAGGAACGAGGAACGGCGAACGGCGAACTCACTGTTGAGCATGATGTCGCAGCCGCCGACAAACTCGCCGCCGACGTAGACCTGCGGGATCGTGGGCCACTCGCTGTACTCCTTGATGCCCTCGCGCAGTTCCTGGTCTTCGAGGCAGTTGAAGGCCCTGTTTAGGTGGAGGCAGTGCAAGGAAACAGGCGGGCCGTAATGCGGGGTCAGCGACCCGCCGAGGTGGCAACGAAGCGACGCCGTTGCCGGAGCAGAGCGGAGCGGAGCCGGAGCGAAGCAGAGAAAACGGCGCCGCACTCACCGGAGCGTCTCGGGCTTGACGCCCTGCACCTCGAGGATCTGGACGACGGCCCTGCTGAAGCCGCACATGGGCGCGTCGGGCGTGCCCTTCATGAAGACGACGAGCGGGTTCGACTTGACGGCGTCGTCGATCAGCTTGCGCGCCTCGGTCGAGAGCAGCCGCGCCGACGTGGCCAGCGGGACGGCGGTGCGGAGCGACGAGGCGCTGCTCGTGCTGAATAGGGGGCTGACCCGGGTCTGACGCTGTGTTCAATGTCCGAAGGGTGTAGGTGGAGAGGCAAGATCGTGCGTGCGAGTTTCTTTAGCCGCTGATCAGAGGCACAGAGACGGGGGGGAGAGAGAGAGAGAGAGAGAGAGAGAGAGAGAGAGAGAGAGAGAGGAGGAG